TTTTTTTTTTTTTTTTTCCGGAACGATAGAAATACTCATAACACTAAAAGGAAACAAACAGTACAAAAAACAGTACAAAGCCGACAACTTGAGAGCACCACACGCAGGTGGCCTAGACCAATACCAAGAACACAAACAACCCAACATCTAGCTGCTGGAGAAAGCAGAATAACTCTGAACCTTTCCACCAAACCTGCTAGATGAAGGCTGGCCTAAAAGAAGAAAAAACAACCCAGCTACTGATAAAAAATCCTAAAAGGGCAACAGAAAACAAAACCTACAACAATCTAAAAAAAACAACATACAGCAAACAGACACCTAAAAAAACCTCAAGCATCCAGGACCTGCACTTCTTTAGCAGTTAAGAAAGCTTGCCAATCAAAGACAGCCATCTTCACAATTTGAGAAGCAGGTCTTCTAACCTGCTCAAAAACCCACAAATTACGCGACTTCCAAAGCCACCATAATATGTACGTTGATAACTGAATTCTGGCTTCGGAAACTTCTGATTTATCCAATTGACACACTTGCCACCACCACTGTTTGAAGGACTCTTGCTTCTGTGGACCCACCCATTGAACCGGAGCCAATTTCCAAACCATCTGAGCTAAGCGGCAGTGAAAAAAAATGTGCTCCAAAGATTCAGGTTCCTCCCCACATTGCCTGCAAATGGCCTCAACTCCTATCCCTCTTGAAATCAGGTGTAAATTAACTGGCAGCGATTTATTGCAACATTTCCACAAAAAATGCTTCACCTTTCCCATCACTTTGAGTTTCCAGCTCCTTTCTCTAATGGTAGCATCTCTGGCCAGATCACTACTACCTTGGGCAGGCTCCATCTTAAGAAATTTATCTGTAATGAGCTTTGAATAAGTTGATCTGACAGAAAACAAGCCCTTCTTATTTGGACTCCATAGCCATCTATCTTCTCTATGAGGATGAATGGAATTGATAGCCAACACTTCCTCTGCTACATCTTCAGTGAATGTTCTCCTCACTTTTCTTTCATCCCAGCTACTGCCCTCCTCATTCATTAAGTCCCTAACCCATCTAATATCCCTGTCAATTCCCTCCAACAGTTGGACAGAACTTCCCACTCTATTAGGAATCCAGTGCTTGTCCCACACCTCAGTGCTTCTCCCATCCCTAATCTCCTTTTTCATCCAGTGACCACATTTACCCAAGACAGCTAACCAACTACTCCACAACCAGGAGCAACTATGCTTATGTTGAGCTTCAAAAATATCAGAATTAGGGTAATATTTGGATTTAAGCACTTTACTCACCAGTCTGTCCGGCTCAGCAATTAACTTCCAAATTTGTTTAGCAATAAGAGCCTCATTGAAAAGTTGGATGTCTTTAAATCCTAACCCTCCATGCTTTTTAGGAAGGGTCAGTCTTTCCCAAGCTACCCAGTGAAAACCCTTCTGAGCTTCACCCCCTTTGTTCCACCAGAATTGGGCACTGATTCTCTCAATATCCTTGCATACTCCAACAGGCAGCACAAAAGTTGACATAGAGTAAACAGGTAAGGCATTAACTACTGCCCTCATCAATATTTCCTTACCTGCTGGTGACAACCACCTGTTCTTCCAATTTTGAAGCCTGCTCTGCACCACTGAAATGATATATTCAAATGCTTGCTTCTTAGACTTGCCAATCCCAAGAGGTAGGCCCAAATATTTTGTTGATGAGTGAATGCTGATACCCTCAAGCAAAGAACAACATCTTGACTGCACCTCTACTGGGGTGTTTTTACTAAAGAACACTGAAGATTTCCCCATGTTAACTTGCTGCCCTGTAAACAGTTTATAATGATGCAGAATCCTAATCAGTTTTTGCACTTGGCCCACTTCTGCCCTACAGAATACCAGAATATCATCAGCAAACATGAGATGAGTAAGCTCTGGCCCCCCCCCCCTTGATAACCTTATTCCCTTGAAAGCACCCCTTTCAGATTCCACTCTAATCTTGGCAGATAATAGTTCAGAAGAAAGAATAAACAGGTAGGGGGACAGAGGGTCCCCCTGCCTTATACCTCTTGAAGCAGTGATGTAGCCCTGAGGATGCCCATTTATATTGAAAGAATAGGTTGGGCACTGAATGCAGGCTAAAAATCCATTTAACAAATTTATAATGAAAGCCCATTTTCAACATTGTCAACTGAATAGATTTCCATTCCAAGCTATCATATGCTTTTTCCACATCAATCTTCACTGCCATAAAGGAATTTCTGCCAGATCTATGTCTGTTTAAGAAGTCAAAGACCTCATGCCCCAATATAACATTATCAAACAAACTTCTTCCTGAAATAAAGGCTGACTGGTTGTCAGAAACACACAAAGACAGACTCTGCTTTAATCTACTTGCCAGAATGCTGGAAATCACTTTGTAGAAAACGACACACAAACTTATTGGTCTAAACTGGGAGATAGCTGTAGGATTAGCACATTTTGGAATAAATGTAATAAGTGTATGCTTCCAATACCTCAGCATTTGATTGGACTCAAAGAAACTTTTAACTGCCCTGCATATGTCCTCTTTGATTATTGGCCAAAAATGTTGGAAAAAAAGGCCAGTCATGCCATCTTCACCGAGAGATTTCTCTGGATTAATACCAAAAACAGCCTTCTTAATATCAGCTTCCTCCACAGGAGCAGTTAACCACCTGTTCATATCATCAGAAATGGTCTTGTCAATGTTAGGTAGGAACTCATGCCCATTCTTAGAGCCCTGGGATGTATAGAGCTTCTCATAATAGTTACTGATAGTCTTTTCAATTTCAACAGCATCAGAACTCAACCTGTCCCCCTCCACCACCAGCCTCTCAATAGCATTCCTCTTTCTTCTTTGCATAACAAAGGCATGAAAAAATTTTGTATTATTATCCCCCTCCTTCAGCCACTGTGCCCGTGCTTTCTGTTGCCAAAAAGCCTCCTCAGAACAATTTGCAGCATTGAGCTCTTTCTGAATTCTTTCCCAGGCATCCCAGTTTCTATCACCCCCTTCCTTTCTCATATCAGCAAGTTGGAGGGTAAGTTTATTGATCTTGGCCTCATTCTCATTTCTGAAATGCCTGCTCCAAATGAGAAGTGCCTCCCTTGCCTTCTTAATTTTTTCTTTAACCAAAAACATAGGAGTACCATCTACAGCTGACTCCCAAACTGATTTAATCACATCTTTAGCCTCATCCCTCTGAATCCACCTCTTATCGAATATGAATCTCTTCTTTGGCCTGTGAGAAGATCCCTTAGAATCAAGCACCAGCATACAATGGTCAGAAGAACTTCTGAACCAATTAGTCAAAGATGTATCTGGATAAGATCCCAACCATCCCATAGAAACAAAGGCTCTGTCAAGGAGTTCTTCAACAAAATCTTGCCCTCTTCTGTTATTAGCCCATGAGAACTGCAAGCCTCTACAAGGAAGTTCCTGAACCCCCATATTATTGACAAATTCATTGAAACCTTTAAAGCTGCAATCATGTCTTGGTTTACCCCCTTTCTTATCTTTGGCACACCTCAGGTCATTCCAGTCCCCTGCCATCCACCATAAATCCCCCCAATTAGACCTCTCCCTCAGCAACCTATCCCACTGCATCTCCCTCTCAGCCTTAACAGTGCTCAAATAAACAAAAACAGCCCAACCCTTACAATGTTCATTGAGAATCTGAAAATTAACAGCTACAAAAAAAGAGTCACTGGTAATATTAATAATATCTACATCTTCATTCCATAACAGCAACAAACCCCCACTCCCCCCTCTAGGATCCACAAAAAAGAACCTCTCTCTATACCCCAACTTAACACACACAGCCTTAGTAAAATATTTTGATTTTCGAACTTCGGAAAGAAAAAGAAAATTTGGGTGATGGGCCCTTAAGGCTTCCTTGATCTGGGGAACTGTAGAGGGCCCACCCAGACCTCTACAGTTCCACACCTGAGCTTTCATTGACCACCCGAGGGTCCTTTAAGGCTGCCCCTCAATTCCTGTAACTTCAAGATTTTTGCTCTTTTGTCTGTGGCCTGGGTTCCCTCACCTTCCTCCTCTATCATCATTACTTGCTCTTCTGAATCCCTTGGCCTCTTAGATAATGGAGTGGGTTCCTCCAGTGAAATTTCCATACCATTACTGGAAAGTCTGCCTTCCTTAGTCCCTTTCCTCTTCCAAGTCTTCTTCCCAGTGATAGATTTTGGAAGAACCCTTTTCTGAACCTCGAGACTTCCTCCAGCCTGTAACTTTTCCACCGATAGAATGGCTAAAGCTGACTGGCACTGGACATTAAACTCTGTAACACATTGGCTCCTTGCTGGTACATTCGAAGCATGTGGTTCTAA